TATATAATTCCTTTAAACAATCACCCACTGCATAGGAAACCCCTCAATTAGAACTCAAACCCAATCATCTATGCAAAATACTCCAAATTGGAGCGTTTTAAATTTTAGCAATTTCATCCAATTATGCTATTGAAGATAATTCCAATGTCACAATCAACTGAAGAGTAAAGCATTACATGAATTTCCTTGTAGAATAGTCAAATAGAAACTATTAATAAAATTACCTTTTTTTTAACAAAAAAAAAATATTGAAGATTATCATCATATTAACAATGAATTATACAGAAATTCTATGGTGCCACATGTGACACGTGTTATGGTGTCACAACATGATGTGACACATTAAGATTGGTGCCACAACATGATGTGTGATAGTTGTGGCATCAATCATAATGTGCCACATCATGTTGTGGCACTATAGAATTTCGGATGAATTATATATGACTTTAACCTCTTATTATGGATCACCAAGAAAGTACTAATAAAATAGAACAAAAAATAATTCTAGAAAAATCCGTAAAAAATTGTAAAATAGACAAATCCTTCGGTATTTTTTTCTTTCGAAACGGAAGATATTATAACTCAGAAATAATTACAGAATCGGGAGCAAGCGCTCCAAGAATTCCACAGGGGTAGGAAGAGAGATGCACCAACAGTGGTGTTCTAGACAAAACTAATACGCTAGGGGATTAATTATCCTGCTTCCGGCAGAGACAACAGCTAGCTGGGCTCGGAGCTTGATTCTTTATCCCAACCTAAACAAAACGGTAACGACTCTATGTAATTTTATACAAGCAATCATCATATTTGACAAGAATCATCATATTTGAAACTAATTCATCAACGATCAGTAAAATTGCAATAATTAGTTTATACAAGCAAATATATCAACCATAACAATTTTGCAAAGCAATAACAATATAATTCACAAAAAGCTCGAGTTACATTACAGACATTACAACTGGGTAAAAAACACATCATCCATCACTACAAAATTCCCAAGACAAAGTAGTAATGAAAAGTTATATGTACACACAAAACAGCAAGCATACTTGGTCACAAACCCAGGCCAACAACACAACAATTTTGGGAGATTTTGTTCACTAAAAAGTGGGCACAACACCATACGTGATCAACGAGTCGACTTCAAGTTCGGATCTTTTGGCGAACCTGCCTTTGATCCTCGGCCGTGTCTCGGCGTACGCCTTTCTTGACGCGTATCGAATGGTTTTCTCAAACTTCCTGTTCTTCCTTTTCTCTCTGTACCTCAAAACCCTAGCCTCCCGATCCAGACCTGAAACCGGGACAGGAACAGCTTCGGATTTTCCTAAGCTGTCCGATACATCGGCCATGGCTGTGTGGTCGGGGACCACTCCCACCTCCATCGATGAAGAGGATACCTGTCATAATTTATAATCATATATTATTAGTGTAGTTACATCGAATAATTATGATTAGGGATGAAGATAATTAGAAAGCTTACACTCTGGCTAAGGGATTGTGAGGTAAAGTTGTACATGAAAGGCTTGGGGATGGGGTAATCCATATCGTAGGTGGGGAACCCATCCACGACGGGCCCCGGGTAGTGGCTCGGCCCGAACTCGGCCTTGCTCTGCACCGGCACGACCCCGTCCGCAGAATACTGCTTGTTCTCATCGCTCCCAGCGGCCTTCTGCTCGCCGGAGAGCAGATCCAGATCCAGATACGGATCCACGTCGGTGAAAAGGTACTCGGCGGACTTGTACTCGCGCGATTCGGACTCCTCGCCCTCCTCCGGCCGGTCGCCGGCGTTGGGAAGGAGGAGCCAGGAGGCGGCCTCGGCCTCCTCCTCGGAGAAGTCCTGGGCGGGCTTGGCTGCGGCGGCGGCGTCGTAGAAGGGGGCGAGGGGGAGGCGCTCGTGGCGGCGGGCGAGGGGGTTGGCGGAGTGGATGTCGCGGTCGCAGGCGGGACAGAGGGCGGCGGCGTCGGCCTTGCAGGAGACGGTAGCGGGGGCCTGCTCGCAGACCTCGCAGACCCAGACGCGCGCGTGGCGGGACGCGAGCCTGTTGGCGGCGTGGATGTTGGCGTCGCAGGCGAGGCAGAGAAAGGCGGAGTCGGCGCGGCAGAACACAGTGGACGGCGCCGCCTTGCACGAGTCGCAGATCTTCGCCGTCAGGCTCCATGTTTCACCACCCATTTGGTTGTAGTTTTTCTTTAAATTTACTTGCTTTTTTTTTCGGTACAATTAAATTTACTTGCTTTTAATAATGAGGCAGTGTGCATAGGCATAGAGAGAGCCTTATTATGTGGCTATGTTCGGAAAAGAAGACAAAGCTGGTTGAGGAGATCTGACCACGGCCAATTAAAACCGGACAACTGGCTTAGTCTTAGCCAAGTAAAAATGGGGAAAATCAGTTTTTTTTT